TAATTAAAATGTCAGTTTGATTCACAGCCAGGCTCTGGCCTCATTGTGACAACATAGCTGCAGTAGTTCAATCTATATTTTTTCAAGTTTAAGGCTCACAGAAAAGAAAATCTCTCTTCCCAGGAAGCAAATTCTGTAATTCACTCTGATTGCACTTCTTGGATCATAAGTTCATTCCTGAATTCTGCAGTAATCATGGTGACTAAGGACCCCTTGGGTAAGGTCCCATCCAAAATATATGGATGAAAAGCTGTAACTACAACATTCACTACAGCTTGCACTTGGCATGAAATTATTACCAGAATTTTAAAAATTACCACAGCTATAAAGTTCTGAAGGGACCTAATTTTCATGAAAAAAATGCTTTCTCACAAGACCCAGAGAGTCTCAAGAGATCACCTTACCATGCAAAGTCTACTGACACTGGTGGATGTCCATATCTAAACCAGCAATGCATGAAGACATTTAATAGATAGAGGGGGGAGTGGGGCCTTAGAGGACATTAATGTGTCACCTCTGTTCTTCAAAGGCTGCTGGGAATACTTGGATTCGAATTTATTCTTTGGGAAAGTGGAGCCAGCATGACTTATCCCAAGTCAGCTGGGATTAGGAGCTGCCTTGTTTTGGGGAGTGAGGAGCAGAAGGAGTTGGGGAAGCTTTGGACAGGAGTCAAATAAGAAAGTGGGGGCTCCTGATCGTAGAGGATTCTCAGTCCCCATCTCTACCACCACAGTAAATACCTACATTTATGACTAGCCTTCTCCCTCTCCCTCAACCGCCCAGAGCAGCAGAGAGCTGGGGCATATTAAGCATATCTTCCGAACCTACAATCTTGCTTCTAGAAAGCATTCCTATAAAAATAGAAGTACAGACAAAGTTGCTCGTTACAGCACCTCTTCAATGCAATGTGTCCTGACCTCCACCCCACTATACTGTGTACATTTCTCCATTATTGCTTGAATTTCACCATGACTGTTATCTGCATATCATCTCCCTTCCTAGGTCCTAAATTGCTAGAGAGAAGCTGAGTTTCATTTATCATCATTACCTCAGTCATGACCATGTGACTAGCAGACAATAAACATTCAATACTGTTTATAGAATTGATTGATTTTTATTTTAGTTTATAAATCACAGCCCTGGTGAAGGACTCCATTCTTATATTCTGCATCTGCTTTTGAGATTTTCTGTTACTTCTTCTGCTCAGCCTCACTGAGCTTTCACTTTTTGTTCTTACCACCGTGTGTGCATCTGACCTCTCCAGAAGCCTCGCTAACGGGAAAGACAATGACTCCCATAGTTTCCCTCTGGGGAAGCTACATTGACCATGGCTACCCGGCAAGAGACTGCTCTTCCAGAGGACTGAAGGGGGAAGGAAGAGGGCCATACTGCCATCCCAGCATCCTCTGTCAAGAGCCATAGTCATCAGCACCATGGAATGACTGACTGGGTAAGCATGCTGTTGTATCTCCATCTCTGGAAACAATGACGGGAGCTCTGAAACCAGTTTGAAACCTGAACATCGTGGCTTGACTTTTTCTAAACTGGTATCTGTGGGTAGGTTAAAATGATCAAGTTCTAATTTCCAACTATTTGTACGTTGGACCAGAATGAGGCAGTGGAAATTTATTATAATGCAGGGTTGCCCAACGTATGAGATACATTCCGCCTGTGGCTTGCAAAATGATTCTACGTGGTACACGAATTAACATGTTTTAATTAAGAACATATTCGTTTAAGTTTAGTAACGTATTTTAAGAGTTGTATATTTATTTACAGTTACTTTTTATTTGGGACAAGTAAAAAATGTGTTGATTTAAATTCATTGTTATGCAAATAATAACATAGGTGTTCTTAGAGAACTCAAGTTGGGAAGCACTATTATATTACATTCCCTAAGGTTCACACCAACCAGTGAAATTATGGCAACAGAGAATGCCAGAGTTGGAAGAAACCTTGGAGGCTATCTAATCCAATTCACTATTTTAATTACTTATTCATTCATTAAATACTTATTGGGCACTTCCTATGTGTAAGGGTCTGGGCAGAACTGCAGTGAATCAGAGAGGGCTGGACTAGTAAGAGAGACATTAAATGTGTACCCTGTACAGTAATTATAATTACGATAGGTACTACGAAGAAATAAAGCATGTATGAAACTTTTAACAAAAGGATGTTTGAATGAAATCTGAAAGGATTAGGAAAAATTAACCAGGCAAAGCAGGGCTTGGAGTAGGAAGCAGGTGGTAGAAAGAGAAAAGTATGTGTGAGACTCTGATAGGACAGTAAGAGAAGACCACACTATCTCATTATGAAGACACCTGTATATATATCACCCATGGTAGTTAATTTCAATCAGGACCAACCCAGAAATGGAGGCCCAAGAGGAAAAGTAACTTGGCATTGGCCACACATCCTAAAAGCAGCAGGGCCAAAACCTTAATCCTTCCTTTCGTGGGTTTGTACATTCCCCACATGCTTACATAATGCCCTGTGTTCAAGCCCTGTTCTGGGTTCTGGGGACCTTACAAGGAATAAAACAGACAAAAGTCCTTCCCCACAAAGCTTATATTCTGATATAGCAGAGACAATCAATAAACAAACAAGTCAATACAGGCATGTCGGTGGGAAAGAAGTGGTTTAGAGAAAAGTGATGAGGAATGAGGGGTTGGCTTGGGAGGGAGGTTGATATTTTGTATGAGTGACCCTTTGATGATGTAGGCAGGGGCCTAAAGAAAGTCGGAACCAGCCTCTCGACCTCACCAAGGACTCTTTCTACCACTCCAGGCTACTCCCTGGTACTCAAGTTCCTTTTGCTTGCTCTACAAGCAGATTCAACTCCTTTAGCTCTAATCATATGCTGACAGACAAAACATTTTAATAGGAAATTTAGTCTCCTGGGTATGATCTAGTAGGGATCTACCAGAAGGAATCTCCTTCTATAAATGTTAAATGGCTTTGGGGTTTATAGAGCATTTCATGGGAGTTTGGAGGTATGTGTACATCTCCAAAAAAGTAACTATCCCTGTTTCTGCTAAAGGCCAGAGTGAGACCTGTAAATCAGAGGGAAGGCTTCACTCTGAGCCCACAGTGACCTCACCAAACACAGTTTTCTCACTGTGCACAAGAACACCAGCTTCTCTCTTCTTATCTGCCTTTTCAATATACCAGTCTTTATTCAAACACAATAAAACCATGCTTTTTTCTCTTGACATTTGAATAAAGTTTGTTAAAGAAAATAGGCTGTTTTTTAGTTGGTAATGACTTTTAAATTTCTATAGTGTGTCTGACTGAATTTAACAGCCTTTTGACTGTTCTGAGAAACCCAAAGAATTCGGGAAACAAATAAATAAAAATATTGAATTCAATCACCCCAAAATATTAAGGAACATAGGTGAAATTTGATCCTTAAGTACTTGGCCAACAAATGAATATTTCCCAGCTTCTCTGATGTCTAGAGTCCTGAAGTATTGGGGCAGCTGATGAACAGTTTGTAACCCAGACTGGAGACTCCAGGCCCTATGAAGTACAGCACAAACTCAGCAGGGAGGGGTGCCTGTCTTACAAAACACTGTGTGTTCTAAAAGTGGGGCAATGAGTAGTTATGGCTGTATCACCATCTTTCAGGTCCATGGCAAAGCCAGCGAGTAGAGTTCTGATTTCCCAGATGCCAGCTCTTCCAAATGTTCCTCAGGAAAGAAGGCTGCCCCTTGGATCAACAGTACAAGATGAAGAGAAAGTCCTCCAATCTCCCCCTCAACTCAGAGGTGCTCACCACACCTTTCCCTTCCTGTGGATTTGTCTAATGAGGTCCCAGACAGAGATAAGACATGGGACCACAGGATGCAAATGGGGAAGGCAGAAAGAAGGAGGAGCCGGGGACAGTGAGGTAATTTTGAAACATGAGATAAACCAAGAGAAGGCAGTCTCTAGTGAACTGAATAATGACTACATGATTGAAAAGAAAAATTGGATAGTGAGAAAGCAATGGAAAGAAGAGGTACTGAGGACAAAATCCACAAAGGCCTGGGGAAAGCCCTGCCTATTCATATCACAAAACACCAAATCATCATGTTGTCTGCGTGCAGCAGGGGCACAATAAATGCATTGTGGAAGCGCACCAGCTATCACACAATTGCTGTCTGAAATTGCCTTTACCTATTATGCCAATAGCCACGAAGTAGAGTCCGTTTTATGTGAAACAATGGTCAGTCCATATTACTCATTTAACTGAAAGTCTAGCTGGGCAAGTAAGGTTTTTAGACAGTATAAGAAGTTTTATTGTGATGGTATTTGAGCTGCATTTAGACTTTTATTTGGCTTCTATCAGCTTTCCTAATTGTATGGCACCCAGAAGGAGTATTATCAAGCCCTGGTATCGTTTTAACTCAGTTACTTGTGGTCTTTGTGGCTTGGGTTACCTGTCAAAGCCATTCCTAGTAAACCATTCTAAGCAGTTTGTTGACTTGGGTGTCCTACTTGATCCGATCTGGTTGTTACTATTGTACTCAATGAAATTCTAGCATGCCTTCATAGAAAAGATATTCAGGAGAAAGAAATACAGTTTAATTAAAATCAAAATCTGTTAGGAGCTAAGTTCACACTGGACATCATTAGTAATCATCACACTCTTAAGTAGACAGTAATCACATACATAGCACCTAGATGAAGAAAAAGTCCTCCAATCTCAGTAACATTACATTATATCCCAGAAATTTGTCATTTTCCTTCTACAAATATTATCTGAGTTAATTCTTAAAGTTATACACCTTTAAATTAAATTTATAAAATGTACGTAGGAATAACGAAACATATTCAGAATGAAAACACTTCACAACTTTATTACATTAAATTCCTGTAGTCCATTCTGAAGAATCTAACTTGCTGTCTAACTTGTAGTATGTACAAATTAAAAAAAAAAAAAAAAAGCAATTGCAAATTTATTTCTGGTGGTTTTCATTATACTTATAAATAACAATCAAACCAATGCACTTGTATTCTTGCATTACTTAATGCTTTCCAGGAATTGTTTAATCCAGGAAAGAAGAATATCCAGTTCATTGATGGCTTTGTAGACTCCTCTGTTTCCAATCTGCAGATAAAGAAGATATTTAAAGCAGAAATCTTTCATATTTAAAAAACAAAGTATTTAAAAACAAGGATTTGGAACACGTACCCCATAAAATGTTCTTTTCATCTTGGTAATGGATTTCATCTCTCTAGCTGATGAAGCACAGGAAATCTAAGAAATCAACAGTAAATACAGATTATACTGATGAAGAGGCACTAATAGTACTCTTTTACCGATTCAGCAAACATCTATTGAGTAGGTATAATGTGCTGGGCGTGGATATGCACTGGCCTCTGTCCTCACAGAGCTTACAGTTTCATGGGGGAAACAAATGATAAATAAGAAAAGAAACAAAGTTAAAATTTACAAATTACAATTAAAGTAATCCACAAGACTATGACAGGGATTTACAGGAAGGACCTACTTTCAATTGGGCTCATTTTAAGAATGACATTTAAATTAAGATCTGAAAAATGAGAAGGAGCCTGCTATGTGAGAAGGTCTTACAGAAAGGTGGAGGTGGTTGGAGAGGAGGCACAAGAGAGAATAATTCAGGCAGAGGGGAAAATGTGCGAAGGCCCTAAAACAGGAAAGATGTAGTGCTTTCTAGAAACTGAAAGAAAGAAAACATGGCTAGGGCAATTGAAAAAGGGAAATGTGGGTAGCGTGGGTCATGAGAAAGAAAATTTTTACATTTTGAAAAATCACCTTGGCTGTTATATACATTGCACAGTACAATATTCAGATGTCAATTGCCAGGAGAAAACACAAGGAAATTAATATTAGTTTCTAAATTAAGAGAGGGAGTAGGCTGATGTCTTGTAGCCTTGTGGAGAGGAAACTGCCAGTCTCCTTTGAGGAGGTGAATTTTCAAACCCTATCAAAGCACAGGAACTGCTTAAGAGATAAGTAGGAGGAGATTAACATAATTTTCTATTCTCCCACTAATTTTCACAGGATTAATTAAAGAAAAGAAAAGAGAAGAAAAGGCAAAAATATCTAATTTAGCTATTTGGTTTTTACTCATGAAATCTTAGCCCTGAAATTGACCAAGGAGATTGCATAAGCCAATTCTTTTCAATTTACAGAAAGAGAAATAAAGGCCCAAATGGGTTAGTCACTTGTTCAAGATGTCACAGGAGATCCTGTCTTAATGGCTAAATATTATGGGAACATCAATAAAGGTAACAGTTAATTAAAACTCATGAAATGGAAGCAACTAAATGACAACACCTATTACAACAAATGAAACATGGCCAATGTCAACAAACAGGTCCCATTAGGCCAGAACACAAAGGTTAAAAAAGGAGCAGCATTAGGGCTCCTTTTATTATCAAGAGCAAATAATTGAAATAATTTGACAGTTATACCCTTAATGCTGCTTTAGGGGCTTAAAGATGGTGATGGTGTCATGACTCTGCCCAAATGCAGACTCACCACCTTCAGGTCAGACCCTGCGGAGGAAGAGATCCTTGTGAGAGGAGCTTTGATGATCAGGCACAGAAGAGCTGTACACACAGAATGTTTGGGTTAAGGTGCAGCTTGCAGGATTCACAAGCACAAGGTTGGACCTCCCTGTGATAAGAGCCCTGAATTAAGAGGACGACATTTCAATACAGACCGGATCCTGTGAGACCAAAGCAATATATGACAGATCTAAGATGGTAGTAGCCAATGTCAGAGATTATAATGAGAGAGAATTCATTCATTCATTATACAAACATTCCTAAAATGCCTACTATGTGTCAGACCATTTGCTAGGCACTAAAGATATAATTATGAGCAAAACAGAATTAGTAAATAAAATAGTTGTACATTGGAAAAATAACAAACAAAACAAAAAAAGAATTAATATTAGAAGGTAAAAATTCAGCAGTTACAGGAGCTCTTCTTATCCTAGTTCCCCTCCAAGTGAAAACAGAAATGCTGAGAAGATTGTTATATAAAAATAATAATAGTCAGCATGTATTATGTTAGTATTATGTGTCAGGTGCTAATCTAAAGGCTTTAGTTATATTATCCCATTCAGTTCTCAGAACAACCTTATGAGATAGGTACTATTATTCTCCTCATTTTACAGATCAGAAAATGGAAGCATAGAAGTTAATATTCTGCCTGTGTTCACACAGTAAGTGGAAGTGCTGAGATCTGAACCCAAGTATTCTGACTCCAGAGTCTGTATTTAAAACCATTACATTATACTGAAAAAAACAAAACAAAACAAAACAAAAAAAAACATAACTTGGAAAAGATGTTCCACCTAAGCCAATCTCTTAATGAAATCTTCAAAATCTCCACTCTGTGTTACACAAGTTGGGAATGTCGGAAAAGCTTTAAATGATTCAGCTGATAGGCAGAGAGAGAGAGTTTTCAATCTGAAAATGGACAATATGATAATAAACAAAAGAAGAAACCCCATGTGCGTGTATGTGTGTGTCTGTGTGCCTGTATCTGTGTCTGTGTCTGTGTCTGTGTCTGTGTCTGTGTCTGTGTCTGTGTCTGTGTCTGTGTATGTTGTTTTCTTTGTTCATTTGTTTTTCAGATTGGAACTACAACAGAGGATTCTAGAAGTATCAAGTCTAAGTCCAGCAAAGATAGGTATGAAGAGAATTTAGAGAAGTCTGCCCATCATTTTATAAATGGAGAGTTTGATTAGATGTTAAGACCTTCTAGCCTGAAATTATCTAACATAAAAATACTTGGCCCAAATCTCTTCAACTAGAAAAAAGGAGACTCAATAAAAAAGAGAATCAATACTTGCCTAGTTCCAGGACACTGTATCAGAGTTCTTAGATGTGAGGATCAATTACAAAGCACAGAAGAAGCAAGTCACGCGGCAGAATGTCAACTATACATGTCTTAGGATTTAAAGATTTAACACTGAGAGTGTGAAGCCAAAGAAGCCAATCAAATTCTGGACATCACAGAAGTTAAATGTCATTAAGCCCTTCCTGTTGATTATGCCTTCTTCCCAGAGAACTTAGATCTACAGTGCACCCCACAGCAGGGTGAGAACTATAAAAGGGCTTCTGACCTTACTCCATCTAAGACACATGCCACCCTAAGAAGACCAAAGAGAGTAAAAAAGGAGAAAACCGAAATTTGACAAATAAACAAATACATACATACATACATACATACAGACAGACAGACATACATACATACATACATAAAAATACTTGATAGTGCCAGTGTTGCCACTAGGGCTATGCTGATTTATGGGATGCTTTCTAGTACCTTGTGCTCCATTTACTATAGATGACCCCTCATAAAGATCTGACCCAGAATATTATCATTTTCCTCGCTGTTTTAAAAATGTCTACAGACCCTGCAGGACAGCCAGATTTTATTGACATGATTCAGATTGCTTTGCTTGGAAGGAGGAATTTGTAAAAAAAAAAATGGTTTCCTTTACCTTATATTTCAGTGTATAGTTGCATTTGCTGAAAACAGAATGTACCAAAAAAAAAAAAGGATTGACAGTTTTATTGTAAGAATGACTGAATGATTTGACAAAATCAATCAAAGCGGATCTGATCTAGAATAGAGGCAATATATTAGTAAGGCTAGAATAACTAGAGACCTGCTTAAAGAAAAGTGTGAGATAGTCATAAAATAACAACACAAGGCCTAAGCATTCATCATTAATACATTTTTATTGCATACTTACTATACATTAAGTACACAATAGCATCTCTGCCCACATAGCATTGATTTACTTAATTTTCAAAACTACCTTACACGATTAAAATTGCCTTAGGGCACAAGTGATGGCTCAGTAATGCAAAATTATAATACTATGTGATAAATACTCTGTGATTTAAAAAATAAATAAAACTGCTTTGGGAGACAGAGCAGAAGCAATCCAACTATAGGATCTCAGAAGGCTTCCAGAAAGAGAAAACAAGTGAGTTGCATCTTGCAGGGTGAGTAAGATGGAGTGAAAGGAGCAAGGAAAACGAGTAGGCAGAGAAAGCACGAAGTTCCAAGGTTGGAAGAAGCAGAGGTGATTTAAACACCCTTCAGGTCTCAGCTGCAATCCCCAGGCTCAATTTTCTATGGTATAGCCCCTAAGCTCCAGCCCTGCTGCAGCCCATCCTCCAGTGTGCTCCTTTCACAGCACGTATCACAATCTGAGACTAGCCGAAACTAGCTGAAAGCATTTTCAAGGAGTTTTATTAGGACAGAGCTATTACCTGTCAATTTTTGTTGAATCCCTAGTATCTGGAATAATGTTCAACAAATATTAGATACTCAACAAATATTTGGTTAGTGACTGAATCAATGAATTAAATGCAAGCATCAGCTTATGGCTGATAATAGTTGAAAGCCTGTCCTGGGCGTTAGTGAGCATTATCACTCTATTTAAAACAATAAGATGAACAAATAATACAATCCTTAATTTATGTCCCCAATATCCTCACATGCTTGAAAAATTATACAAATTTGGATTGTGTACGAGAGCTAAAGCAAAAATGAAAAATCTCTCTCCACTGATCATTCTGAGAAAATGAAATACGTGGGTTAATGAGTGGACTGCTTCACATGATGTAGTGCCTCCAGAGAATTAACTACCATATGCTGTTCTCCCAAAAAACAACAAAACCTTTCTAAGATAAGAATTGTATTATATTATCTCCTATTAGAAACATATGCCATATTCTCACAACTATTAGAGAAGTATAAAATCATATATAAGATCTTATACATTTTATTTACTTCCACATACAATTTCAGATCAAATTGTAACCATCCTTTTTTGTTTTCTTTTGTTTGATTTGTGGTTTGGGGTTTTTTTTTTGTTACTGTTACTTAATCTTAATGATTAAGATAGTGCCTGCATTGGCCATTGTCTTGGATTCCTGAAACTTTCCTTCCCCAAAAATGTAAAAAAATAGATAAGGGATTTGATTAAAGGTTAAACTAATTTTATTTTATTGTATGACAGCAGATGTAGATTTTTAAGCAATTCTTAACTTTTTGAAATTTTTCATGTGCAGTCTTACAAATATTTTCTGTATTTAGAATAACAATTAGAGAATTATATCAGTAAAACTTGTTTTGAAAATAGACTTTAAAAAATTTTATGTCAGTTTGACAAATGTTTAGGCACTAGGAGATCAATACAAAACTACTGAGACCAGAAGGGTTTATAGGAAACTAAGAAAGAA